ATTGTGAGGAAGTCTCAGATGGGAGCGGGGGTCCTGAATAAATTGCGAGGAAGTCACAAGCGGGAGCACCGATCCTGAGTAAATTGTGAGGAAGTCTCAGGAGCGGGGGTCCTGAGTAAATTTAGAGGAAGTCTCAGGCGGGAGCCGTTGTTGTTGTAATCCGGGGGGCCAGGGGTCCAGTTTGAGCACCAAGACTTTCCCTGTCAAACAAGGTGCGAGCGTCGAGGGGCACACTTTGATTGAGACAAAACAACCTGCACCGGTGAGGGAGGATCAACAATAATTATTCTTCAGAACTGAGAATTCAACAACAACGAAGACGACGACGCAACGACGACTACAAAAACAACAACAGCAACAAGAACAAGAACAACAACAGAAGCAGCAACAACAACCACGAGGACAACAACAACAATACAAACACACAAACACAACAACAACAACAACAACAACAACAACAAGAACAACAGCAGCAGCAGCAACGACAACAACGACAACAACAACGATGACTACAACAACGACAACGACAACAACAGCAACAACCACAACAGCAAACTGCTTAAGACTGTTCGATGTTGTCTGCTCGCGTGCCACTCAGACCGTATATCCCGAACCATCGATACCCGCCCTCTTCGTCTTCGATCGTATCCCCTCAGGGGTGCATCTTTCTTACCTGCAACGTGTTTCGTGCAGCCCCTAAGGCAGGGGAAGAGCGGACGGATGGAAGGAAGGGACAAGGGGGAAGGAGGAGGATGGAGCACGAGAGGGCGTAGCGGGAGAAGGCGTTAGAAGCAGAACACACGTGGCAGAACCAGACGGGCAGATCGGGCGGTACTGATGGGCGTGTCGGGAAGGCGGGCCCAGGCGGCCAGGTCGAGCAATCGGGTTGCTGAAGCCTGCGTTCTGCATGCATTGCGAGGAAATCTCGAGCGATAGCACGATTCCCTAGTAGATCGTGAAAAATCTACAGCGAGAGCGTGATCCCTGAGTGTCGAGGGCACGGCGTCTGAAAGAAATCCCGTGCAACTTGTGGGGAAGTCCCGCGCGAGAGCGCGATTTGGGAATAAACTGTGAGGATGTATTAAGCGGTGTTTTTCTAACTCGGGGGCCAGAGGCTCAATTTGGTGACCCCTCGCTTTCCCTTGTTCAAAGAAAGGTGCGAGCCCTGGGAGAACCACTTCAATTGAAAAAATACCAGGTGCCCCGGAGGGGGGCGATCAAAAAGAAATATTATTTAAGGATTCAAATTCAACAACAACCACTTAAAGACTGTTCGCTCTTACCTGCACGCGTGCCATTCAAAACGTATGTCACAAACCCTCGATGCCCTCCCTTTCGCCTTCGATCGTACCTCCCTGGCGGTATACCTTCCGTACCTGCCGCGTGTAAGTAGTGCAGCCCCTAAGGCAGGGGAAGAGAAGACGGATGGATGGGGGAAGGAAGAGAATGGAGCACGGAATTAGCAGGAGGGGGGCTCGGAGCAGAAAACACCTGGCAGAACCAGACGGGCTGACCGGGCGGGTAGACCCTAACGGGCGACCAACAAGAACAACAACAACAACAACAACAACAACAACAACAACAACAACAACAACAACAACAACAACAACAACAACAGCAGCAGCAGCAGCAGCAACAACAACAACAACAGCAGCAGCAGCAGCAGCAGCCGCAGCAGCAGCAGCAGCAGCAATTACAACAACAACAACAACAACAACAATCCTGTTAAGACTGTTCGCTCTGATCTGCCCGAGTGATATTCATTACGTATATCCCAAGCCATCGATACGCGCCCTCTTCGTCTTCGATCGTATCCCCCTCAGGGGTGCATCTGTCTTACCTGCAACGTGTATTTCGTGCAGCCCCTAAGGCAGGGCAAGAGAGGACGGATGGAAGGAAGGGGCAAAGGGGAGGGAGAAGGATGGAGCAGGAGAGAGTAGCAGGACGGGGGCTAGGAGCAAAGAACACCTGGCAGAACCAGACGGGCTGACCGGGTGGGTAGACCTAACGGGCGGGTCGGGAAGGCGGGCCCAGGCGGCCAGGTCGACCAGGCGGGTTGCTGAAGTGTGCGTCCGAATCGCGAGGAGGTCTCGAGCAATAACGCGATTCCCAAGTGAATCGCGAAAAAAACCAGAGTGCGAGCGCGATTCCTGAGCGTCGAGAGCGCGGCGTTTGAATAAACTGCGGAGAATTCCCGCGCGAGAGCGCGATTTCTCCATTAATCGTGGAGAAATATCAGCCAGAACCCGTTGTTGTTGTAACTCGGGGGCCAGGGACCCGGTTCGGTGACAACACACTTTCCGTTGTAAAAAACCAAGTGCGAGCCCCAGGGGAAGCATTTCATTGAAAAACACGATGGTCAGTCACCAGACAGGGGGGAGCAACCATAATTCTCTCTTCGCACTGGGAATTCAACAGCAGCAGCAGCAACAACAACGGCAACAACAACAACAACAACAATAATCATTTTAAGACTGTTCTCTCTTACTGGCACTCGTGTCTTGCATTCTGTATACCCCAACCCTCGATACCCGCCCACTCCGTCTTCGATTCCACCCCCTTTCGGGGGGAATCTCTTCCTTGTCGGCCACTGACTGAAGTGCAAAGAAGAAGTCTCGAGCGAGAGCGCCGTTCCTGAGTTCGGGGGCCTCTCTGGCCAGGGGCTCTCGGAATACCTATGGAGAAATATCGAACGGGAGCCCTTGTCGCCGTGTCCGGGCCTCCACCAACTTGCCTGAATTACGGGACAGTCTCGAGCGAGGGCGCCGTTCCTGAGTTCGGGGGCCTTCTTGGCCAGGAGTTCTCGGAGTAAACCGTGAGGGAGTATCGAGCAGGAGCCCTTGTCGTCGTGGCTGGGCCTCCGCCAACTTAATTGAATTGCGAGGAAGTCTCGAGCGAGAGCGCCGTTCCTGAGCTCGGAGGCCTCTCTGGCCAAGGTGTCTCGGGGTCAATTGTGAGGAAGTATCGAGCGGAAGCCGTTGTTGTCGTAGCTGGGCCTCCAGTGGCCCACATTTAGGCTCAAGCCAACGCTCGAGCCAGAGCCTCGTTTTCAGAGAAAATGTAGCCGGTGACGAGGCAAGAGCGCGCGGAACCGTTTCCGGATATCAACAATAATTATTTTAGGAGTGAGTACTCAATCCTGTTAAGACTGTTCGCTCTGAACTGCCTGCGTGCTACTCAGCACGTATATCCCAAACCATCGATACCCGCCCTCTTCGTCTTCGATCGTATCCCCTCAGGGGTTCATCTTTCTTACCTACAACGTGTATTTCGTGCAGCCCCTAAGGCAGGGCAAGAGAGGACGGATGGAAGGAAGGGACAAGGGGGAGGGAGAAAGATGGAGCACGAGAGAGAGTAGCAGGACGGGGGCTGGGAACAGAAAACACCTGGCCGAACCAGGCGAGCAGATCGGGCGGGTAGACCCTAACGGGCGGGTCGGCAAGGCGGGCCCAGGCGGCCAGGTCGAGCAGGCGGGTTGCTGAAGCGTGCGTCCTGCATGAATCGCGAGGACGTCTCGAGCAACAACGCGATTTCCAAATAAATCGTGAGGAAATCCACAGCGAGAGCGAGATTACTGGATGTCGAGGACGCGGCGTCTGAACAAAAATGCGAGAAAGTCCCGCGCGAGAGCGCGAGCGATTTTGGAATAAACTGTGAAGATGCATCAGGTGGGAACCGTTGTTGTTGTAGCTCGGGGCCCAACAACCAAGGGGGAGGGAGAAGAATGGAGCACGAGAGAGTTTTGCAGGAGGGGGGGTCAGGAGCAGGAGTACAAGCGGCAAAACCAGACGGGCGGGTCGGGCGGGCGGACCCTAACAGGCAGGTCGGGCGGGCGGACCCAGACGACCAGGTCGAGCGGGCGGGTCGCTAAAACGCCAATCCAACATGAATCGCAAAGAAGTTTCGAGCGATAGAAATCGTGAGCCAATCCAAAGCGACAGCGTGATTCCTGAGTTTTGGGGACACGGCGCCGCAATGAATTGCTAGGACGTACCACGCGAGAGCACGATTCCTGGACACATTGTGAGGAAGTCCCGCGCGAGAGCACGGTTTTGAAATAACTTATGGGGAAGAACCAGGCGGGAGCCGTTGTTGTTGCTTCTGTAGTTCGGGGCCAACAACGCATTATGAGGCGCAAGACTGCCCTGTGAAAACACCAGGGGCGAGCCCCGGAAAGGAGCACTTGTATTGAAAAACACCGTGGGCACCAAAGGGGGGATCAATAAAAATAGACTGAAGAATCGAACATTCAACAATAAGATACGTCGCAGGCAAGTAAAAAGTCCAGAAACTGCAAATGAGTTGAAGAAAAATACGAAGACCCTCTTCGGAATCGCCAAGAACCTCTTCAACCGCGGAAAGCAAAATGAATCGCAAGAAACTCTGAAGATTGCTTCCTCCTCCCCCTCCTCCTCCTCACCCTTCTCCTCCTCCTTCCCCTCTTCCACTCTCCTCTCTTGCACTCCTACCCCCCCTCGTTCTCGGACCAGCCCCCTGTCCTTGTGTGGGGAGAGGGGCACTCGGATGGAAGGGATACTACTCTCCTCCGTGCCTATTACCTCCACCTTTTCCCGCCCATCCTCACTCCTTCCTCCCTCCCCCCCCTCATCCCTCCTGCACTTCCTCCATCAGAGCATCCCCCCTTTGCCCTGCCTCCTCCTCCCACCCTCCACCCTCCTCATCCGATCAGCCCTGCCCGCAGTGGCACCCACCACCCGCGCCCAGGCTCACCTGCCAGCCCAGCTGAGGGCTCGGCTCCCCCTTCCGGCCCTCCCTCCCTCCCTCCTCCCCTCCCCACCTCCCCCCTCCCTCCCCTCCCCCCTCCCCCGCTTCCCTCTTCCCTCACTCCCTCCATCCCCCCTCCCTCTCGTCCCGTCCCCCTCCCCCTCGGCCCTCCCTCCTCCCTCCTCCCTCCTCCCCTCCCTCCTCCCAACCCCCCTCCCCTCCCCCATCCCCCCTCCCCTCCCTCCCTCCCTCTCCATCCCTTCCCCCTCCTCAGTCCTACTCCTCCCGCCGGGCCGCGTCTGTCGCCCCGCGGCCGGCGCCCTTCGCTTCACTGGTTAGCGCAGTCCGCGTCCTCGTCGCGGGCGTCTCTCGGGAAGGCGGACAACGACGACGACGACGACGACGACGACGACGACGACGACGACGACGACGACAACGACGACGACAAGGACGAGGACGACGACAACACGGCCGACGGACGACGGACGACGGACGACGACGACAGCGAGTGTACGAACGAACGAGAGCTCTGGAGGGCAACATCAAATTGTATGACATGCTCGACGTGCCCCAGGACCAGCATGACTGCCGCGAGCTTCGGACCTGCATGCCTAACGGCTGGTTGCGGAGCTTCGTGGCCCCGACCATTCAGCCACCGCCTGTCACAGGAAAACGACGAGAGAGAAGGAGGAGGACAAGGAGGAGGAGGAGGAGGAGGAGGAAGAGGAGGAGGAGGAAGAAGAGGAAGAGGAGGAGGAGGAAGAGGAGAACGAGGAGGAGAAGGAGGGGGAGGAGGAGGAGGAGAGGAGAAGGAGGAGGAGCGGAGGAGGAGGAGGAGGAGGAAGAGGAGCAGGAGAAGAGGAAGAGGAGGAGGGAGGCATAGAGGGAGAGAGAGAGAGAGAGGGAGGGAGGAGAGAGGAGGAGGAGGAGGTAGGAGGAGGAGGAGGAGGAGAGAGGAGGGGGGAGGAGGGGGCAAGGACGAGGAGGAAGGGAGGGGGAGGACAAGTGCAACGACGACGAAAAGCGTAAGGCACAGACCCGTTGAATCAAATCCCAGCAGCCCTGCCGCAGACGAGGCCTCCGAAGACCCCGGGCCGCCAATCCCGAAATCCGTGGGGCGCGGCGCGCCGAGCCCGAGCTCGCCTGCGGGGAGGACCCTCAGGAGGACAGAGGAGAGGGAGGAGGAGGAGGAGGAGGAGGAGGAGGAGGAGGAGGAGGAGGAGGAGGAAGGAGAGGAGGAGGAGGAGGAGGAGGAGGAGGAATGGGGGGAGGGGGGGAGGGAGGAGGACGGGGAAGATGACGAGGAGGGACGTGTAGGAGGAGGAGGAGGAGGAGGAGGAGGAGGGAGAGGATGAAGAGGAGGAGGAGAGGAAGAGGAGGAGGAGGAGGAAAGGGAGGAGGGAGCACGAGGAGGAGGAGGAGGAGGAGGAGGAGGAAAGGGAGGCAGGCAGGCAGGCAGGCAGGCAGGCAGGGGTGGAGTGGAGAGGAGTGGAGCCCGTTGCGGAATCAAGTCTGTCCCCTTAACCCTTAAAGTGTGCTCGACTGTCTAATTAGCCTTCTTCTCGGCTTGGCTGAAGACCTTGGGCCTTAAACCAGCCGCCAGTCTGTCGAAGTATTCTCGCTAGGTTCCGGGAGGGAAGGAGGGAGGAGGAGGAGGAGGAGGAGGAGGAGGAGGAGGAGGAGGAGGAGGAGGAGGAGGAGGAGGCGGAGGGGAGGGAGGAGGAGGAGGAGGAGGAGGAGGAGGAGAGAGGAGGAGAGAGGAGGAGGAGAGGAGGAGGAGGAGGAGGAGGAGGAGGAGGAGGAGGAGGAGGGGAGGGAGGGAGGAGGGAGGGAGGGAGGGAGGGAGGGAGGGAGGAGGGAGGGAGGGAGGAGGGAGGGAGGGAGGGAGGCAGGGAGGGAGGGAGGGGAGGAGGAGGAGGAGGAGGAGGAGGAGGAGGAGGAGGAGGGGAGGGGGGGAGGGGGAGGGGGAGGGAGGAGGACGGGGAGGAGGACGAGGAGGAGGACGAGGAGGAGGACGAGGAAGAGGAGGAGGAGGAGGAGGAGGAGGAGGAGGAGGAGGAGGAGGAGGAGGAGGAGGGAGGAGGAGGAGGAGGAGGGAGGAGGGAGGAGAAAAGGAGGAGGAGAAGGAAGAGGAGGAGGAAGAAAAGAAGGGAGGAGGACGGAGAAGGAGAATGGAAGACAGAACACGGAGGGCGGAGGACGGAGGGCGGAGGATGAAGGGCGGAGAACGGAGGACGGAAGAGGGTCATAGGAGGAATGGCGGGGGAGGAAGGGCGGAGGAGAGAAGGGAGGGGCAGGGGAACGAAGGAGAGGAGGGGAGGAACGGACCTGGGCCTAGGGCCTCGGACGGGCACCAGACAGAAGGACGACCGCGGCGAGGTGGGCGGGCTTGTGCGGACCGCGGGCGGTGAAACAGCGCACCCGCAAGTTGAGAGCACAATCTGTTTGTTGGCGTCGCGGCCCCGAGCGCGGCGGCGGGGCGGAGACCGTCGAGCGGGAGAGCGCGCGCGGCCGGGCCGAATCACGCGGCGCGGGGGCCATGGATCCGCTCACGGGGGATCGGCCGGGTCACTCGCGGGGGGGCGCGAGCGGAGAGGAAGAGGGGGAGAGCAGCGGCAGGAGTGGAGGTGCGCTGCGCAAGAAGCAGGAGGGGTGCACCGACTCTTGACCTCGAAGTTGATGGAAACGAAAAAGCGGGGGCCATGACCAAGACTGAACGCGAAGACGTCGTTTCGACCTTGGTCACCGTCGATCTTGGTCAGCGTCAATGATTTGAGCTCAAACGAACGCCTCCACCAAATGCATGAAGTCTGGCGGCGGTGGGGGACGCCAGCATGCAGAAAAAAATCGAATCAGAGTCACCCGAAACCCCATCTAGCGCAGGCACGAGTGAGCCCTCGTCCTCTTCGAAGGTAAAAGCAGAGCGAACGCTCTGTGGCACCGCACTCGGGGATGCAGCTGGGGGCCTGGACGCCGATGACTAGGCGACTCGAGCAGAAAACGAAAGGCTTCCTCCCCAGCCTCTACCTTCTCAAAGCGGAGGCGCCAGGGGAGCTGGCGTCAACACGAAAGGAAGAGGCGACAGGATCCCCCGAAGGAGCAGGAGATCGAGGCACGCACGAATTGAAGCACTGAAAATAGATTGTCAGCGTGGACCCGCACAGACCGTTAGCCGCACAGCGGGCGCAAAGCCCCGCGGCACAAGATGTTTCATCCAGCCCCGGCGGCTCTGGCAGGGCTCGTACACCGTTCGCCGAGGCCGCGAACGATAGCCCCGCTGAAGAAACAAAAACATCTCGTGCAAAGAAATAGCACACTGGCATCGTCTCAATCGAAAGCGATGGCACTGCGATTGAGAGAATCGAACCTGGACGCGCGCAACTTGCCAGTGCCTTCGCATCGTTCTGGCCCAGGACTCTCGATCGAACGTTTACCCTTCAGACAAGACTAGCACCGCCAAGAGCTGTAGAGGACGAGGGCGAGGAACGGGCAGAAGCATAGGAAGATGCTGACGGAACAGCGGCCAAAGCAGGAGCGGGAGCAGGAAGAGGAGGAGGAGGAGGAGGAGGAGGAGGAGGAGGAGGAGGAGGAGGAGGGGGAGGAGGAGGAGGAAGAGGAGGAGGAGGAGGAGGAGGAGGAGTGGGAGGAGGAGGAGGAGGAGGAGGAGTGGGAGGAGGAGGAGGAGGAGGAGGAGAAGGAGGAGGAGGAGGAGGAAAGCAAGCGGAATCGGCGGCAGCAGCGCCGCGGCTCCTGCTCCGCGGCAGGGTCCTGCCGCCTCCTCCGCGCGGGCGAGCGGGAGCCGGCCACCTGCGGGAAGCCAGGGCAGACGGCCAGCCGGGGCCACGGCAGGCTCCGCGCAACGGTGACGTGGGCGCTCGCTTCTGACACGCCGTGCATCGTTCAACCTCGGAGGAGGAAAAAGTACCCATACCGCTGCCCCTTCCCTAGATTTCGCCCCGTTGGGTTTCCTCGAAGGCCCTCGTGTCGCCACCGCCGAATGCGCCTCCACACGCTGGTCAGAACGCACCCCGGGAGGGGGCCGTGGAGCAGCGGCATCGGTACGGTAGGGTCCCCCCACAGCCTTGAAGGGATGCCGCTTTCCGACGTCGCAGGCCGTGTCATGCTGGCCAAGTTCAGGCGGCCGGTGAACTTCCAACATTGAACGCCAGCGCTCGGCGTCGCCGCCGCGTCAAGTCGGCGTGAGCCCACCGTGGACCCACCTCCCTCAGAGCCTCCGCCCTTTCCGGCCCGGAAAGGGAGGGCGAGGGAAGGGGCGGTGGACCTGGCACCCCCCGGCCTCGACCCTCTGTGGTACCCTTAGGTCGGGCATGTCCCCCTACAGGCGGATCTTGGACGATTTTTTTTAATCACACAAAAAAGTGATCACAAAAAAGTGTCAACCAAAATATCCTCACAACAATAACAACAAGAACAACAACAACAACAACAACAACAACAACAAAAACAAAAACAACAACAGTAATTTTAAGACTGCTCGGCCTTATATACTCGAGTGTCCAATAACGCGTATTTCCCAAACCCTCGATACCCGCCCTCTTCGTCTTCGATCGAACCCCTTTTGGGCGGTATACCTTTCTTCCCTGCAGGCCTGGCCCCGGCAAGCGGCGGGGCGGCCGCGGACCGTCGGCCTGGCCAGTGGCAGCGCTGATCGGCGGGGCGGCCGCGGACCGTCGACCCGACCCCAAGAGGGACGGACAGGGGACCGACCACGACGACGACGACGACGACGTCGAAGACGACGGCGACGACGACGACGACGGCGACGACGAGCGAAAGCGAGAGCGAGAGAGAACGACAGCAGGGCCACGAAGGGCACGAAGTAGGCCACGAAGGGCGACAGCGGGGACACGAAGGGAATGCGTATGGGGCCACGAAGAGCGCGAACGAGCGGGGGCCACGAAGGGCAGATAATGCGGGGCCACAGAAGGCAACGATGGGGCCACTGAGGGTAGCAACTGGGCCACGTAGGACAGTGAGGGGGCCACAAACGGCGACAGCGGGGCCACGAAGGGCATGCACATGGGGCCGCAACGGGCGCGACTCCTGGGTGCCTGGGTGTCGGGTGCGCGGCGCTTAAGCAAATTGCAAGAAATTCCAACGCAAGGGCATTCTTCAGTAAGTTGCAAGCAAGTCTCCAGCGAGAGCGCGACTCCAGAGCGCTGGGAGAGCGATTCCTGAATAAATTGTAAGGAAGTCCCAAGCGAGAGCGCGATTCCTGAATCAAATGCGAGGAAGTCTCGGGCGGGAGCGGGGGTCCTGGCTAAATTGTGAGAAGTCTCAAGCGGGAGCCGTTGTTGTTGTAACCCGGGGGCCAGGGGGCCAGTTTGAGCAGGAAGACTTTCCCTATCAAAAAACAGGGTGCGAGCGTCGAGGGGCACACTTTGATTGAGAAAAAACAGTATGCACCAGTGGGGGGGATCAACAATAATTATTCTTCAGAAATGAGAATTCAACAACAGCAACAACAACAACAACAACAACAACAACAACAACAACAACCACAACCACAACCACAACCACAACCACAACCACAACTACCACAACTACCACAACAACCACAACAACCACAACAACAACAACAATCATTTAAGACTGGGGACACTCCGTTCTCACCAGTGCCAGGGTTTTCATAGGAGGCGGGCAATACCCCCACTTTGTGGGGGGGCCGGTTCAAGCTCTACCAAATTTCCATACGACTCTTCGCCACCACCCACAACCAGCTTCCCGCCCTATGACGTTCGGACACTTCACTTCGTGGCATGCGGACGACCGTGGCTACTATTCAGGGCCCCGCGGCCGACGACGACGGCGTACGCGCGCGAAGAAAAAACGAATGTGTCCAATATGGTATTATTTGACAGGGATGATGGCCCTGGCATGCGCGCAACCGTTGTTGCAGAAGTTCGAAGCACGTGAAAAAGTTGCTCGCAAGAGCCCGTTTGACAGAAATGTTGAAAAAATATTGGGTTTCCTCAGAAATCCGCAAGAACGCGCAAGATGAATGTTTGAAACTTTTTGTTTGAAAAACCATTGGTTTTTTCATGTTTTTATGTTAAAATCGCTACGAAAACTAAGGTTTTGGAAGGATTTCATCTTGCGCGCGCGAGTGTGCACTTCGTGTCATTTGTTTCAAAGGATTCTTGAAGTTTGGTTATGTTAGAACAAGAAATTTCTATAGTGTTTTTTGCAAGGGAAAGCGGGCCGTAACAAAACAACCGGATCCGGACACCCACGTTTTGCCTGAGACTTCCTCACGAAAATGATGAAAATGTGGCTGCGGCCTAGGCGCGGCGAGGGGGGCGCGCACCAGGGGTCCCAACAATAATTATTCTTTAGAATAAATAATGTTCAACAACAACAACAACAACAACAACAACAACAACAACAACAACAACAACAACAACAACAACAACAACAACAACAACAACAACAACGACGACGACGACGACGACGACGACGACAACAACAACAAAAACAACAATAACGACAACAACGACAAACGAAAAAAAACGTCTCCCTACTATGTTTTACTAGTTCTGAATCTTCCTCCTGTAGAAGGACATGCCCGATTTAATGGGTACGTGTCCCCCAGACCTGTGGAGGCGGCTTGCTCCTCTTGGGCGACGCCGACCGAGCCCTCTTCGACTGCCCCTCGCCTCGGGGCGGGCTGGCCGCCAGGCCCAGCGTGGCCCTCTTGGGCGACGCCTCGAGCGGCACGGCGGGAAGCCGGGCCACCCGAGCCGGAGACCGGGCCCCCCTAGGGGGCACCTCGCCGCGGGATGGGCTGGCCGCCAAGGCGAGCGTGGCCCTCTTGGGCGAGCCCTCGGTGCGAACGTGCCCGGCGGGGCCCAGCAGCGCCTGGAGCTCCCGGGTCAGCGCTGGCGTGGTCCTCTTGGGCGACTCCTCGACCTGGACATCCCTGGTGGGGCCCAGGAGCATGTCCGCGGTGCCCCCGCGCGCCCCGGCACGTGCAGCCTCGGCCGGAGCGCCGCGGCCAAGGCCGTCGAGGGCGCTGCTCCGAGCATCACCTCGGGGGCCCACCAGCACGCCCAGCCCAGCGCCGGACCCGGTGGGAGGCCTCCCTTTCGGGGAGACAGCGCCAGAGGTCGACGCCACGTCGGAAGCGCGCCCAGGCCAGTCCGCTCCAGCTGCGCCTGCCAGGACGTCTCCAGCCGCGCCTGGGCGCTGGGGCCCAGGGGACCTCCCCGCCCGCACGACGCCCGCGGCCTGGAGGGAAAGAAACGGGGGACCATGGCAAAGACTGCACGCGGAAGCGTCGGTGCCGATGCAGGTCACCGTCCATCCTGGTCACCGTCGATTCGTGGATCATACTCGCGAATTGGCGGCGGCCCGCACGGAACACGACCGAGATCGGCGTCGACGAGATCCTGCGTGATTCTTCCCTCGGTGGCCGTCGGCGTGCCAGCCGCGCTGCTGCGCGCGCCCGAACTGGCTGCGCCGGGGCTCCTCGATGGAGGCGGCCAGGGGTCTGAACCAATTGGGACCACAGAGCATCGGTCAGGAGGGGCAATGAAGCCAAATCCGCTCAAAAGAATTCCCTATGGTGCAACTTTTCACCCCGAATCCGTTTTCTCAGTCCTGGGGCCCAGAAATGGCCCCCAGAGGCCCAAGAAAAGGCGAAAAGCCTCCGCGGGCCCAGAACCTCGAATTTGTCCGCCCTTCCCACTGGCTGGAACCAGTGCTGAGCCACCTCAGACCCCAGGGCGGCTCCAAGCTCCTTGCGCCCTCGGCGACGCTGCGGGCGCGCCGCAGCGGACCGCGGGCACCGACGGCGAGGCCGCCACTGCCCCGCGGCCCGCCGGGCTCCCCAACCTGCCGCTCCGCGGGCGCCGCCCCGCCCGCGGGCGTCCGCGCAGCCGCCGGCCCAGGGCTCCGCCGCGCCTGCAGCAGCGGGTTCGTGCGCCCCTTCGAGGGCGGCAGGGCGTCCAGGGCCTGGGCGCGCTGCCGCCCCGCCCCCGGGCTGCGCCTGTCGGGGGCCTCCTCCTCCTCCTCCTCCTCCTCCTCTCCCTCCTCTCCTCTCCTCCTCTCTCCTCCTCCTCTCCTCTCCTCCTCCTCATCTCATCCTCAACCTCATCCTCATCCCTCATCCTCATCCTCATCCTCATCCTCATCTCATCTCATCATCCTCTCCTGCTTCTCCCTCATCCTCTTTCGCCTCTCCTCCTCATCTCCTCTCCTCCTCCTCCTCCTGCCTCCTCTCTCTCCCTCTCCTTCCTCCTCGGCCTCCCTCCTCCTTTCCTCCTCCTCTCGTCCCCTATCCCCTCTTCCTTCTCTCTCTTCCTCCTCCTCCTGACTCCTCCTCTCTCTCGTCCCTCGTCCTCTCCTCGTCAATCATCTTCATCTCAGCAGCAGCATCATCATCATCATCATCATCATCTCATCATCATCATCATCTCATCTCATCACATCATCATCATCATCATCATCATCATCATCATCATCATCATCATAATCATCATCATCATCATCATCATCATCATCCTCATCCTCATCCTCATCATCATCATCATCATCATCAATCAGCAGCAGCAGCAGCATCATCATCAGCATCAGCATCATCATCAGCAGCATCAGCATCATCATCATCAGCAGCATCATCATCAACATCATCATCATCATCATCATCATCATCGTCTCATTATCATCAGCATCATCAGCATCACCATGATCAGCATCAGCATCATCACCATATTATCCTCCTCATCATCATCACCGTCATCATCATCATCATCATCATCATCATCATCATCATCATCGTCATCATCATCATCATCATCATCATCGTTGTCGTCGTCGTCATCATCATCATCAACATCATCATCATCAGAATCATCATCATCACCATCATCACCACCACCACCATCATCATCATCATCACCATCAGCAGCAGCATCATCATCAGCATCATCATCAGCAGCATCATCATCTCCTCCTCCTCCTCCTCCTCCTCCTTCCTCCTCCCCCTCCTCTCCTCCTCCTCCCTCCTCTCCCTCCTCCTCCTACTCCTCCTCCTATCTCCTCCTCCCCCTCCTCTCCTCCTCCAGCTCCCTCCTCTCCTTTCCTCTTCCTCGTCTACTCCTCCTCCTCATCATCAGCATCAGCATCAGCATCAGCATCAGCATCAGCATCATCAACTCTCATCATCATCATATCATCATCATCATATCAATCAGCATCAGCATCAGCATCACATCAGCATCAGCAGCATCATCATCATCATCACCATCATCATCATCATCATCTCATCATCATCATCTCCTCCTCATCATTCATCACAACAACCAACTCATATCTCCTCCTCCTCCCTCCATCATCATCAGCATCATCAGCATCAGCATCAGCATCATAATCAGCATCATCATCATCATCATCATCATCATCATCATCATCATCATCATCATCATCATCATCATCATCATCATCATCATCATCATCATCATCATCCTCTTCCGCCGTCCCGCGCCACCCCTGGGGCCCCATGAGGGGCCTCCTGAAGCTCTAGCGGGAGAGTTAGCTCTGGAGGCCGCCCAGGCCTCCCTGGGACAGACGGGGCAACCTTGGGGCCAGAACCGCCCCCCTGGCAACCTGCCTTTGCGCACCGCGCCCCGCGAGGTGCGACGCGCGGTCATCTCCGCGCCATCGCGCCCTCGTGCCGCCCCCTCGGAGGAACGCAACCGCTCTGGCCCAAACCGCGACGCGCGAAGCGCGATTAACCTGCTGCCCCCCGCGGGTGACCCGGACATTTGGCATCGCCCGAACCCTGGGATCCGACGTGGCAAGCACATGCAAAGTCGCTGCACGAATCACGACCCGAGCCCCAGCCCCCCTTTCTCTGCACCACTGCTGGAGCCGAGTCGGTGCGTGCGGGCCCCAGGGCCCGCAGAGGGGGGCGAACACGCCCGTCGCGAAAAACTGCGACGCCAGGATCCGAGGGGCGCCCGCTCGCCTGGGGCTCCCCGCCAGCTCCAGCGCCGGGCCGCCGCCTGCGGGGAACAGCGCGCTCTCCGCGGGCTGCCGCCGCGCGCCCGCGGCCTCCTCGGCCCCGCGGGCCGCCCCCTCCGCGGCCTCTCGCGCGGCCACCTCGGCCGCGCGCCGCTCCCGCTCCTCCTCCGCCTCCCTCGCCGCCCGCTGCGCGGCCTCTCGCGCGGCCGCCTCGGCCGCGCGCCGCACCTCCTCCGCCTGCTCCGCGGCCTCTCGCGCGGCCGCCTCGGCCGCGCGCCGCTCCCGCTCCTCCTCCGCCTCCCTCGCCGCCCGCTGCGCGGCCTCTCGCGCGGCAGCCTCGGCCGCGCGCCGCTCCGCAGCCTCGTTCCGCTCCGCGGCCTCTCGCGCGGCCGCCTCGGCCGCAGACCGTTCCTCGTCCTCCTTCCGCTCCAACGCGGCAGCCTCGGACGCACGCCGTTCCTCGTCCTGCTTTTGCCCTGTATCTTCCCGCATGGCATCTCCGCCCCTGGGCCGGTGCTCCGCCTCTTCCTCCTCCTCCTCACTGTGCGCCTCGCCTCCCGTCCGCTCCGCCTCCTCCCTGGGAGCAGCCTCGGACGTGCGACGCTCTGTCTCCACCTCTTTCTCCCCCTGCTCAGCAACCTCCACGCCCCCTGGCGCGGCCGCCACGGCCGCGCGCTGTGTCTCATCATCCTCCTTCTCCCCCTCTGCACGCCTCGCACCTTCCTCCTCCTCCTCATCCTCCTCCTCCTCATCCTCCTCCTCATCATCCTCCTCTGCACGGCTCGCGCCCTCCCGCGCCGCCTCGGCACCGCGCCCGGCCTCGCTCTCCTCCCTCCGCTCCAGACCCTCTCGCGCGACCCCTTCGGCCTCGCGCCGCTCCTCCTCCTCCTCCTCCTCCTCCTCATCCTCCTCCTCATCATCCTCCTCACCCTCCTCCTCCTCATCATCATCCTGCTCCTCCGCCTCCTCCTCCTTCTCCTCCTCCTCGCCCTCCTCCTCGCCATCTCGCGCGACCGCCTCGGCCGCAGGGCGCTCCTCGTCCTCCCGTCGCTCCGCGTCGTCGCGCACCGCAGCCTTGGCCGCGCGCGGCGCCTCGTCGTCGCCGACCTCCTCCACTTCTGCATCGCCACCACCACCACGGTCGTCCCCCTGCGCGGCAGCCAAGCCCTCGCTCTCCTCCTCCTCCTTCTCCTCCGCCTTCTCCGCCGCCTCCTCCTCCTCCTCTTCCTGCCCCTCGCCGGCCTCCTCCTCCTCCTCCTCCTCCGCCTCCTCCTCCTTCGCCGCCTCCTCCTCATCCTCATCCTCATCCTCCTGCTCCATTGGGGGCCTCCCACAACGGGTCCACGGCCGACAGGGGGTCGGAGAGACCGCGCCCCGTCGCCGATGCATCGGCGATTCGCTGGCGACGTCGGGAGGGAGGCGATACCGCGCAGCAGGAGACATTCGAACGCCGCGCTCCTCGGACTCCTCCTGCTCCCCCCCGTCCGCGCCCTCGCGCGCACCGGTCTCAGCCGCCTCCGGCCCCGAGCCCTTGCCGCTGCTCACGGCTGGCGCCTGGCCACCGCCGCTGGCGGCGACCCTGTTGGGCGTTGCTTGAGGAGGGGAGCGATAAACCCAGACCCCTCGAGTTATTAAAGAATCATGACGGAAGGTGTTTCCCGATGTTCGGCCTCTTTGGGCCCTTACCGGCCCTCGGGGCCGTCAAAAAACCACTCAGAACGAGAAACCTGTCCCAGGCATTGGGTCCAGAACGCTGGGACCCAGCATTCTGGGCGTCCACGTCATGAAAAAACCATGGCCGATTCCAGAAACCCTGAACCCGAAAATGTTGTCATCTCTTGGGGGCGTTTTTTTACTTCCGTCGCCTTCCGCCAGCCTTCCGCCGGCTTCTGCTGGCGGAGGCGCCCTCGGTTTACTTCCACCGACGTTCCGCCGCCCTTCCGCCGCCTTCGGCCGCAGAAGAGATGACAACTCCTTCGATCCTCGTAGGCACGGCCTTTTTTGGAGTGCCTCAAGTGATGAAGCCAGAGAACTCTCAAGCTGTGACTGCGCAGATTGTTCCTCTGCCTGACTGTAGAATGTGTCGAATGACTTCCAGATTCGAGCCTCGGCAGCCAGGGATGGCGCAACAACCATGCGCGCATGTACGCCTGCAGCAAATCATGCGGCAATGTGCTTGCAGTCATGCGCTGCATGGCGTGGCAACGATTCTCGAGACAAGTTGTTCATCACACCTGTCCGGGGCGACGAAACTTGAACCCTTGGTGCCCCTTACAGGCCCCCATTATGGCACAAAGGTGTACCTTTATTCAACCCCACATTGTGGAGAGGAAGAGAAAGGGAACTATGACCAATACTGGGTGGAATCCTCGTGTCGATCTTGGTCACCGTCGATCTTGGTCAGCGTCAATTCGTGGATCCTCCTCGCGAATCGGCGACGGCCAAAATCGCATCGACAAAATCCCGCAACACCTTGGTCATGATCCGCGCCTGTCTTCCCTCGACCAGTGAACACCCTCGCCCTCCCCCCATTACTAGAGGCCTCCCAGATGGGGTCGGAGTAGATGGGGTCGGAGGATCGCGCCGCATCGCCGATGCATCGGCGATACATCGCCGATGCACCAGCGATGCAGCGGCGATGCATCGGCGATATCGGCGTGAAGCAATCGGGCTGCACGTCGAGCCGCATCGGCGATGCATCGGCGATTCGGCGCGATCCTCCGACCCCCACTACTCTCGGGAGCGGCCAAGTGGTGGGTGTCCAAGAGGGGGGGGTGCAAATCATGACTGGCGGCATGTGCGCGGCCCAGGTGGGGGGGCCAGGGACGTAACGAAACAAGAAGAGGCGCCATGAAATCTGGGGAGACATCATGGCCCCCGCCATGATATCCACCCCCGCCAAGTCATCACCCCCCTACTTTAGGAGGCAACTACTGGGAGGTTTTCGTCGGAAAAGTTAAGGAGGATTAAGCCCCATTTGGAAACTGTTGCGCCGGAGTGGGCCTCGGACTGAGCAGGATGAAGCCGGATGGAGCGGGATTGAGCGGGATCAGGCCGCATTCGGCGGGATCTGGCTGGATCAAGCCGGAGCTCGGACTGGGGCGAAAACAGAAGTTGACCTCCCAGGAGAAGCACCCGAATCTACTCCGACCCCCTCCCCAGACCCCCGACGTAATGATTTTTTCATTACGTCGACCCCCAGAGGTCCCGACCCTTTCCCCATGACCGGCTTTGCATCCTGAGTCGTTTTTTGACGCTCCCGAGGCCCTGTGAGGGCCCCCGGAGGCCGAAAATTAGGAAAAACCTCCCGTCGTGATTTTCTCATTACTCGAGGGGGTCTGGGTCTGAGAAACCCAAGCTCACGCAACGCCCGCGCCTCGCCGGCCGCAGCGCGCCCCGGGCCGGGGCCTCCGGGGCGCTGTCCCCGCGCGCCGCGGCCTGCACGGGGGGGCTCTTCGCCGCCGCGGCCCGCTCCTGGGAGGCCGCCCTGCCGTCGTCTTCGCCGTCGGGGGCGCCCGGGGAGGCCCTCCTCGCGGCCGCGGCTGGCCTCGCCCCGAGATTCCACAGGGAGGAGGAAAGGAGGGAGGAGGGGGAGGAGGGGGGAGGAGGGAGGAGGGGAGGAGGAGGAGGAGGAGGAGGGGAGGAGGGAGGAGGAGGAGGAGGAGGAGGAGGAGGAGGAGGAGGAGGGGAGGAGGAGGAGGAGGAGAGGAGGGAGAGGGGGAGGGCGAGCCCAAGACAGGAACCCGCTCGGATGCGCGGCTGGCCTCGCCCCGAGATTCTACAGGGAGCCCAAAAAGACAGGAACCCGCTGGGATGCGCGGCCGCCTTGCCGTCGTCTTCGCCCACCGGGAGCGTCCTGGGAGGCCCTCCTCGCGGCCGCGGCTGGCCTCGCCCCGAGATTGTGGAGGGAGCCCAAGACAGGAACCCGCTGGGAGGCGGCCGCCTTGCCGTCGTCTTCGCCCCCCTGGAGCGTCCTGGGAGGCCCTCGCGGCTTCGCCCCGAGATTCTGGAGGGAGCCCAAGACAGGAACCCGCTGGGATGCGGCCGCCTTGCCGTCGGTTTCGCCCCCTGGGAGCGTCCTGGGAAGCCCTCCTCGTAGCCGCGGCTGGCCTCGCCCCGAGAGCCTGGTCAGAGCGTACCCGGGGAGAGGTCCGGGGAGCAGCGGCATCGGTACCTCTCAGGTTCCCCAGTAGGGAGGAGGGCGAGGAGCGCGAGGTTCGAAGCTCGAGGCCTTCGGCCGTTGTCCGTGGTCCCATCCAGGCGCTTGCAGCTTTCTCACATCGGGCGTCTTCGCCCAGGCCGGGGGGCCATCACAGGTAAGCGCTGGCTCGAAAGATGCCGCGGACAGACGATGCCCAGGCCTCCAGTCGTGATTGTCTTGCGAATGCCATGAGACACCCGAACAATTCGGGTGTCCATTGTCACAACTGTGTGAATTCACATGTATAACAAAAAACTGTCGAACATGTTCTCAAAATGATCAAACATGTTTCTAACAAATTTAAGAACATATGTGAAACATCTGTTGGACATCTGGAAATTATTTGGCAGCATGCTCCCTTAATCGACTTCCACCATGATTGCCGCGATGCTGTACTTTTTGCTTGCAACGTCGGATCTGCAGGGAGTCAGAGAAGGAACATGCTCCGATACCGCCACCCTGGCGCATCGTTTTCGCCTTCTGGGGCGTCCTCGGAGGCCCTCGTGGCCGCGGCTGGCTTCGCCCCGAGAGTCTGGCCGGGGCGCACCCCGGGAGAGAGGTCCAGGGAGCAGCGGCATCGGCACCTCTTGGCTCCCCCAGTCGAGAGGCGGGCGAGGAGCGGGGGGGGGGGGCTCGAAGCTCGAGGCTTTCGGCCGTCTTCCCGCAGCTTTCCAGGCGCGGGATGCGTTCCAGCGGCTGCGCCTCGCCGAGGGCGTTCTGGGGCTGCCCGGATCGTCCCGAACGGCCGCCAGAGACCAGAATCAGGACCTGCAAACATTCACATTCGGTGCCCCAGGGGAGGAGTGACAGGGGGCAGGCCTCCTCAGAGGCGGCGGGGCTCCTCCCAAGCCCTCGCGCCCTCTGCAAAAGCCCCGTGAGCCTTCCCCGGGGCCACGCAGCGTCCTCTCAGAAGGAGCCAGGGCCTCCGAGAAGCCCCGCCGCCTTCCGAGAGTGAAGGGGCCCTGGGACACACAAATAAATACACCCCCATTTTCAGGATTCCCCATCTCTTCCCCTATTTCCTGGGCTCCTGTCTTCCCCCCCACCTCCCCTCCTTCCCTATACTTCCTGGGGAGTCGACGATGAACTGTGTCTGTGTCTCTCCTCTCCTCCTGAGACAGGGCGCGGCCCCTCTCCTTTTTCCCCCCTCGGGGCTCGCCGCCGCTCCCGGCACACAGGGGGGGGCGGGGGTGCCTCTCCTCCGCCGCGGCCCGCGCTCCGAGACGGCGCGGCTCTCTCCCCGAGAAATCCCGCCGGCGGCTGTGCCTCGATCGAAGGATTGCAAAAAACGAAGGATTGCAAAAAACCCGGCTGTTCCTCGGCGGTTTTTTGCAATCCTTCGATCGAAGGTTTTTTGCAATCCCGCCGGGTTTTTTGCAATCCTTCGACGGCTGTTCCTCGGGGGGGCCCGCGCTCGGGCCCCGGGGCAGTCCATGGTCGGGAGCGGCCAAGAGGGGGGTGTCCAAGAGGGGGGGGGTGCAGATCCTGGCCGGCGGCACGTGCGCGGCCCAGGTGGGAGGGCCGGGAACGTAACGAAACAAGAAGAGGCGCCCTGAAATCTGGGGAAATGTCGTGGCCCCCGCCATGATATCCACCCCCCCAAGTCATCACCCCCCTCTTTTCCGCCCCCGACATAAGGGATCTGGAACGATGAGCTACCCCCGAGAAGGAAGCGGGACCCCTGGGGCCGCGCCACGAAGTCGGTGCGTGGCCCCGGAGATCCAGACCTCCGACGAGGTGCGTGTTCCAACGGGACCAGAAAAAACATCGTCGGAGCTCAGAGCGTGCGCCGGCCCCACTTGTGTGCTCTTCGGAATGCTCCTCCCGTGGACCTGGAGGCCACCCAACAGGTGGGATCGGGGGGCGGCACCAAATCACCGATGCATCGGCGGTGCACTGGCGCCGTAGGAGGGGGGGCTCGCGAATCAGCTCACGTAAATGATGTTCTCGGCGTCCCCAGGCGCCAGAGGCGCCCATGTATCGAGGGAAGCGTCTGGCGGCGGGGCCGAGAGCAGCCGCATGCAGCTGACTTCAGATCCCCCCCTCCCTTCCCGATCCCCCCCCCCGTTTGGTCCGACCCGACTGGGGAACCACGAGGCACGTCACGACAAGCCGTCTGGCGTCCGAACCTCATGCTTCTGCCTGCTGTGCTGTTGTTGGGGCTCCCTGGCTCCTGCCGCAGCGCCTGCCTGAACCTCTGCCGCTGGTACTCGAGCTCTAGCGCCTGCCTGAACTCCTCTGGCGGCGCGCACCAGGAGGTGGGGCGAGCGCAGGGGGCCCTCTGGATGACTACCTACCAGCCCAGAGACCCGAATTTCGGATCGGGGAGGGGGCACGGGCTTCAGATGCGCTTTCCGGTGTCCCCCACCCCCCTCGCTGGAAATGGCGGGCAGCTCGGGGCCTTCGGGTGGGGCTCGGGCGGCTTGGCGAGCGACCCTCCAGAAGAGGCGGAGGGGTGCTCTCTCTCTCAGAGGCCCCCAAACGCACTCGGGAAGGCAGCCGCCGACCCCTCCCCGGAAGCACCCGGGCCTCCGGGGCGGGCCGCGCTTCCCCTCCGCCCTCCGCCCCGAGCCTGCCCTCGGGAGAGGGCGGCCGTCGACCCCCTTTTCCCGAAGCACCCGGGCCTCCAGCAGGGTGGGCCGCTCCTTCCCCGCCGCCCCGCCCCCCCGGCCTCTGCGGGGCGAGGCCGTGCCCACCACCACCTGCCTGGCGGGCCGCTCTTCTGGGGCCTCTGCAGGCGGCGGGCAGGGACAGATCTGCTCCCCCCCCCAAAAAAAAAGGACGAGAGCGGCGCCTCTGCACCGTGCCGCGTCTGGACTCCGTTCCGACCCCGCTCCAGCGCGTCACGGTGCGCAGTCCGTTCGGCTCTGGGGGCCGGAGCACGAAGAACCGTACCATTCCTGGGTCGAGACTCGACGACGCCACGAGGGGCGCCAAGGCGGCACGACGCACACAGGTCGTCCGCGGACCCATGCCATCAAGTGGGAGGAGGTGCGACCGCAAAACGGTTGCGAGGGAAGGTCAGCTTAGCCGCCCTTGCACTCAGCCAAGCCCAGACTCCCTACAGCTTCCTTGCACGTTGTCACTTCTTTCGCGTCTGCACGGATGGCTTCCCGTCCAGCCTCGCCGCACCCGCCGAAGCCCCCAGCGATCGATGCCTCAGGCGCCGGTCATGGACCCAGACATGCGACGTTCTGACTTTCCCATGCGCGGTCCCAAAAGTCCCGAGCCCTTCCCGGGAACCGGCTATTTTCATCCTGCGTCTTCGTTTGACGGTCCCATAGTTCGGCACGGGCCCCCAGAGGCCGACGACGACGAAAAAACTCCGCCTTGAAATTGCTGCTCGACGCGAGCACGTCTGGGGACCTGAGCTGCCCCGATACGGAGCGCGCAACCAATAGCGTGTTGACACGGAGCTCCACGCGCAGACCGAAATCGTAGGGCCGGCGCGATGCGTTCGCCAAAACGTGGGTCAGAACGTGCCGAACCAGCACGCAGCTTGTCGACATAGACGTCTTGAGCACGGCACGCGTGGCGCTTCAAGACGGGCGCAGCAGGGCGGCGACGCTAGGGACAAAGTCTACGACGAAGCCAGGCCGAGGACAACATCGGATGAAGATACATCGAACATCTCTGAAACATCCGCCGGCTCTGGAGGAGATCTCGGGCGCCGCGGCCTTCTCAGAGCGTTCCAGAACGCTCTGAGAGTGTTCTGGAACGCTTGGGCGACGAAACCTATACATGTCCACTGCTCCCTTGCCAGGCCTATCCTGAACCCCGCAGCGAAACATACGCCACGCCCTCCTGGCTTGGCCAGGAGGGCGTATTGCACGGCTCCTGGCTTCTGCATGGGCTTGGCCAGGGAGCAGTGGACGTGTATCTGTATAGACTTCCTCGCCCGATCTGGAACGGACCCGTCAGCTCGGACCCGCGTGCAGAATGGATTCGTCCAAAAGCTTGTTCTTGTCGCAGGGCCGTGCGGACCGCTGCCAACAAACCCTTCCCCACTGCACGGGGACCGCTTCGCCCGGAGGGCCGCGGCTCCCATCCCGCCCGGCTCGTCCTCGCCCTGGCCCCGTCCGACGCTCCCCGCCTCATGATGGCCCAAGAGAATACTCCAGATTTCGTAATAAGAGGGAGGGGGTCTCAACCCTCCCAGACGAGAAGTTTCAGACCCCCCCCCCGTGGGAGAACCCTCCAAGACATCGTCCCCAGACCCCCCCAGGCCCTCCAAGATAGCCTGGAAGAGACCCCCCCCGAAATGAGACCCCCTTCCCTTTATTACGAAATCTGGAGTAGACTAAGTAGATCACTCTAGCACCTACCCCACGTGCTGACGGGACGCAGAACGAGGGAGGAAAGGAGAGACAAGCAAGCGAGGACGAGCGCGCAGGCGGGAGGCCCGGGCCGGCGAGGCGAGGCAGGCAGGCAGGCGGGCGGAGCGGAGACGGGACAGCCGGCAGGAAGGGGAGGAGGAAGAGGACGAGGAGGAGGAGGAGGAGGAGGAGGAGGAGGAGGAGGAGGAGGCGGAGGGGGAGGAGGAGGAGGAGGAGGGGGAGGAGGAGGGGGGGAGGAGGAGGAGGAGGAGGAGGAGAGAGCAGGAGGAGGAGGAGGAGGAGAGGAGGAGGCGGGAGGCGGAGGCGGAGGAGGAGGCGGAGGAGGAGGAGGAGGAGGGAGGAGGAGGAGGCGGAGGCGGAGGCGGAGGCGGAGAAGGAGGAGGAAGGAGGAGGAGGAGGAGCAGCAGGAGGGCCGGGCCCGGGGCCGGAAGGGCCCGCCTCGGACCTCCGCCCGCCGCCCCACGGGGGGGGCTCCTGCCGCTGCCTGCTCTGCGCCGGCACCGTGCAGGCCGAGCGCACGGCCTCGCGCACGTGGGCGGCGGGCGCCCACGCCCGCAGCGCGAGGAGGCACGGCCCGCGGAGGCCCTCCGCCCCCGCGAGGGCGCTGGCGGCGGAGCGCCCGTCGACCTCGGGCGCTGCTATTCGTGGTGGGGGGGGGCGAGTTGCGCCCAGGCCCCAGAGATCCAGCGCGTTGGGAAAAATCAGGACGGAGGTGTTTCGCCGTTTTCGGCCTCCAGAGGCCCTCGCCGGGCCTCGGGACCGTCAAAAAACGACTCAGGACGACAAGCCGGTCCTGGGGAACGGGTCCAGGCTTCCGGGGACCCCGTATGGAAAAAATCACGACGTCGGATCTCTGGGACCCCCTCGAGCTACGAAAAAAACGCCACGGGATGCGTTTCGCGATCTATGGTGACTACCTGCCAGACCACCCTAACCCAACCCGAAGACCCGAACTTGGTCCGAACTTCGGGTTCGGGGGGGGGGTACTGGTTCTATGTGTTTTTGTCAATGCTCTCCCACCCCACCCCCACTGGAAATGGAGGGCAAATTGAGGCCTTCGGGTTGGGTTGGGGTGGTTTGGTGGGTGGTGATACAGGGGCCCGTACCGGCCCTCGGGGCAGTCAAAAAGAGGCTCAGGAGGAGAACCCGGTCCTGGGGAATGGGTCCAGAGCGGTGCAGGCGCCAGTCGGGCTGCCGGCGGGACACGCCGGGAAGGGCTTGAGGCACAGCGAGGAGGAGGAGAAGAGAAGAAGAGAACGAGGGGGTGGGGGGGGCGACGCAGGGGGGGGGGGGCAAAGGAGCGTGCACCGTCGTGCCTCTACTGGGCCCCATGTGGGGCCCAAAAGACGCACACGAGGTGCACCTCAGGGGCACAGAGGGTGCCCAACGAGGCACCTCGAGGGCCCCCTCGCGGCACAAAGGATGCACCCTCCTTCACCCCCGGAGGTGGAGGTGGAGGAGGTGGAGGAGGAGGAGGAGGAGGAGGAGGAGGAGGAGGAGGAGGAAGAGGAGAAGGAGGAGGCGGAGAGGAGGAGGAGGAGGAGGAGGAGGAGGAGGGGAGGAGGAGGGAGGAGGAGGAGGAGGAGGAGAAGGAGGAGGAGGAGGAGGAGGAGGAGGCCCAGAGATCCGATGTCGTGATTTTTTCCATACGGGGTCCTCAGAAGTCTGGACTCGTTCTCCAGGACCGGCTTGCCGTCCTGAGTGGTTTTTTGACGGTCCCGAGGCCCGGCGAGGGCCTCCAGAGGCCGAAAACGGCAAAAAACCTCCGTCGTGATTTTTCCAATGCACTGGATCTCTGGGTACGACCGTCGGGCAACCCCCCATTCAGCAACGCCCGCCGGCCGCCAGCACGTCGTCGCCCGGGCGGACGCCCTCCGCGTCGGCCCAGCCGCCGGCCTCCACCGCGAGCACGCGGCCGTCGGCAGCCAGCTGCAGCCCCAGGGGCCCGCGCTCGCTCGCCTCGAGCTCCACGGCGACGGCCGGGGAAGCAGAAAGCAGCCTCGGCCTGAACTCTTGACAGTCCCTGGGATCCGACGTTGCACAAAAATGGCGACGTCGCGAAAAATCACGCCAGGAGCCCCAGACCCCATCTTTCTGCGTCCTTCTGCGAGCCGGGTCGGTCCGTGAGGGTCCCCAGGGCCCGAAAATGGAGCAGAGACGCCCGTTGTGAAAAATTGCCACGCCAAGATCTCAGGGGTCCACGCGGACTCTGCGGACCAGCGCTGGGCCCCCTGGCCGCGAGGATCTCCTGGATCGGCGCTGGGCCCTGCACGGTTTCCCCCGGGGCCGTAGGCGACCCGAGGAGGAGGAGGCGGAGGAGGAGGAGGAGGCGGAGGAGAAGGAGGAGGAGGAGGAGGAGGAGGAGGAGGCGGAGGAGGCGGAGGAGGAGGAAGGAGGAGGAGGAGGAGGAGGAGGAGGAGGAGGGAGGAGGAGGAGGAGCAGGAGGAGGAGGAGGAGGAGGAGCAGGAGGACGGGTCGCCTAAGCCCTTCGGGGAAACCCTCCGCTGGGCCCCCCTGGCGGCGCCCCTCCGGCGCCGCCCCTGGCGCGCTCCGCGCGTCAGGGAGACCCAAAAAATCCGCGCGGACCTCCCAAAGGTTCTGCTTAGGTCGGGCGTGTCCCCCTGCAGGCGGATCTTGGACGAAAAATAATAAAGAGAAGTCGAAAAAGATTCAGAAGATGCCCCAAAAAACTCACAAGACAAATGTCCCCGGACTCTCTCTTTACTTCTCTTGAACTCTCCTCCTGTAGAGGGGCAGGCCCGACCTACGCTTGTGCTTCCGGCGCTTTCTCTTCTCCGAGGTGGGCACGAGCTCCCCGAGGTCGCCCTCCGGCGGAGGCTGGGCCGCCGGGGCCGCCGGCTCGGCTGGGCCATGTCTGCCGGCGGCTCGCAGGAGGGGGGCTGAAGGGCGGCGGGGGCACGCACGAAGGAACAGCTACGAAGGATACGCCGATGTTCGACGAAAAATAGCAAACACCCGAAACATGTTCAAACAATATCGAAACAAAAAACAAAACAAAAAAACAACAAAACACATATCTATACATATATCTACATATGTGAAACAAAACAAACCAAAACAAAACAAAACAAACCAAATACAAAAACAAAAACAAAAAGAAAAACGTCCCAAGACTCCTGTTTGACTATTTTTGTATTTTCCTCCTGTAGAGGGACAAGCCCGACTGAACACCAAGGTGGGCACGAGTCAGGGCCTGGCTGAGACCAGGCGGATGCGGCCACGCGGCACCGTGTTGCGCGGCACAGATGCAGCGGGTTCGTGTCGCGACGACCTCGGCGTCGGTTTCTGACACCGCGTGGATCGTTTCCTCCTCCCCCACCTCCTCCTCCCTCCTCCTCCTCCTCCTCCTCCTCCTCCTCCTCCTCCCCCTCCTCCTCCTCCTCCTCCTCCTCCTCCTCCTCCTCCTCCTCCTCCTCCACAAGGTCGACCCTAGGACCTCCGGACGACGACGACGACGACGACGACGACGTTGACGACAACCTTCAACGATCGCGGCTCTCCGAAAGGCGCATCGTTCGAGGTCGACCGATTCGAGGCCACTTCGGGAACGGCCAAGAGGGGGGTGTCCAAGAGGGGGGGTGCAAATCATGACCGGCGGCACGTGCGCGGCCCAGCGGGGGGGCCGAGGACGTATTGAAATGAGAAGAGGCGCCATGAAATCTGGGGAGACATCATGGCCCCCGCCATGATGTCCACCCCCCCCCTAGTCATCACCCCCCTCTTTTCCGCTCCCGGCCACCGGCGGCGCTCCAGCTTGAGAACGCCCGCGCCGGGGTCGCCGCTGCGTCCACGCGGCGCGGACGTGGCCCAGCAAGGTCCGCCCCTGGAGGAGGGCTGGAGGCCCTCCACCAGAAACCCTCTCGGAGAGCGGGGGGGCCTCCACCGAGGCCCCGCGACCTCGCCGTCGCTCCCACGTCCACTCCCCGTGGATTTCGCGCCTTCGGGCGCTCATCTTTCGCACGAGGATCCTAGATGCCCCTCGATGGCCCCGCCGAGAAAAAAAACGCGCGCGTCCGAGCGATGCCAGGGGACTTCTTGCCCCAAGATCCTCCGAGGCGACGTCCTCCCATCTGCGGCCCCCGGGGCCCCGGGGTTTCCGACCCCCCTTCCCAGGGTTAAGTCGGGCGTGTCGGATTTTGGACGAAAAATACACCAAAAATACCCCAAAATGGTCGAAAAATATTCAACAAATAATCCCCAGACTATTTTTAATTATTGTTTGACTATTTGGGGGTATTTTGCATTTTTCGTCGAAGATCTCCCTGTAGGGGGACAGGCCCGACTTAATCCCAGGGGCAGCTCTGCACCCTGGACCCATGCCCGCTGGCCCCGGAGCCCGACGGCGGGCCCGCCCCAGGGGCCGAAGTCGAGGAAGAGCGCCAGGATTTGTTTGATTGCGTCTTCCACAAAAATGGAAATGGAGAAAGAGAACACACACACACACACCAAAAAAAGAGAACAAACAAAAACATGTTAAAACAAAAAAAAAAAAAAAAAATGCGTCGTCTCACGGGCGGCGAGCATGTCCGTGTCCGCGTGACCCCACGGACACGCGGTCGCACGGAGGCGCCGCCAGCGCGTGCGGCGCTCCGCGCCGCGGGGCGGGAGGCCGGGAAGAGCCCGGGGCGCTGACGTCTGGGGGCCTGGAAGTGGACAGCGCGTCGCGCCGCGACGTGGCGGGCCAGAACCAGCGGCGCGACTTTCTTGATCTGCAGGGCGAGAGCGAGCCTCTTCCGCTAACAGCTCCGCGGGACGCGCGCGGCTTGGATGGACAGAGAGGGGGGGGCGAGGGCAAGCGGGGCCTCACGCGGCCAGGAGCGGGCGGAGCCCGGGGATCAGGCGGTGCCAAACGGGATGTGCAGGAAAAGGAACACCTTGGACAGGAGCCCGGTGGTGAAGACCCGGGAACCAGCGGCGCGACACGCTATCCGAAAATACCCGACCGCACGTTTTCCGCCCACCCTCTCCCGCCCTCCACGGCCGCGCCCCGCCTCGGTCCCCCGCTCTTGCCGCCGGACAACTATGGTGCCTGCCGCAGCCCGAGAGCCAGGCTCACCAGAGCGCGCGTGCGGATCGCCTCTGCCGCGCCGCGACGCAAAAAAGTGATCCGCCCACGATCGCCGGAGATCTGGGCAGAAGGCCTTCTCAGAAGGCGGCGGGGCTTCTCAGAAGGCCTCCAGCCTTCTGAAAGAGAGATTGCCATGTCGTCGGGGGCAAACCTCCCAAAAAGTGAAGGCCCGGGGGACGTCCGAGCCTCCTGAGCAGGCCCGCCCCTCTTCGCCTCCCCCACCCCTGGGCTCGCCGCCGAAGGTCTTCCGCCCACGATCGTCGGAGCTCCCCAGAGACCCATTCCCCAGGACCGGCTTAAGTCGTCCTGAGTCGTTTTGTTGACGGCCCCGAGGCCCGGCGAGGGCCTCTAGTAGAGGCCGAAAACGGCGAATAGAACCTCCGCCCTGACTTTCTCGATGCGCTGGATCTCCGGGGCGTGAGGCATGGAATCAACCCGGATTCGACACCAGCGTGCCAGAGACTGCGAGAGACCTGGCTGGCAGGGGCCCAGGCCTCGTGTGGAGGGAGGACCAGCAGATCCTCGGCCCAGCGCAAAA